TATTTCTCATCTATAAGCGTTTCTGTTTCAGAGCGTAATAGATGGACTGGGACACAGATATGAGATGTAATATCAGGTCATAATGATGCAGTGTGGGTGTGTGTGTGTGTAAGTGTGTGTGTGGGGTTTACCATCATTGCCCTGGCTTCCCTCTCTCTTCAGCATCTGCACCGCCCCCACATACTTCTTCAACTGGACCTTCAGGACCTCATTCTCCCTGCAACAGACACGCACACACACACACAGCGTTAAACCAGAGAGCACCATCAGTAAGGAGGTTATAAGGACATTACATTGTATGCAAGCATTTCTTTGATAGCATGACTTTTGAATGTCAAATCTCCTTACTGTAATTCATAAACAGACTAGATTCAGACTTGTGCATTTGGGGAAAAAAAAAACATCTGCTGACTGGTTGTGACAGGATGCTATCATGCACAAAGTGACGAAAGGTTATTTTTCGGTCCAACAACCCTGAGAGCTGCATCGAGTCGGTGGCGGGATGTTGTTTACTTTGTTTTATGACAGCATGCAGTGGAGGGACACAGTGGGAAACCTGCTGTGACATCTTGTCACCTGTGGAACAGTGAGAGTAAGAGCCAGGTGGTCAGACTGAGCTTTTTAAATCCACCTACAACAAAACAACAGTCAGTCCAGTCTTCACACTTGATATCAACATGAACCTTTGATGACTGTAATCAGATTTTCCCGCACATGAGGCAGAAATCCCCCGGTAGAAATTAATTGAGGATCAGATCATCAAAAGCGGCTGCTTGGTGGACTGAAATATACAGTCAGGGACAAAAGTATTTGGACTGTGACACAATTTTTCTAATTTTGCCTCTTTGCTCGACTCCAGTGGATTTGAAAGGAAGCAGTCTTTGAGTGGTTGAAGTGTAGACCTTCAGCTTTAATTCAATGGATAAAACTAAAATATCACATGAAACATTTTGGAATTATGGCCATTTTTATACAGTCCCCCACATTTTTAGAGGCTCAAACGTAATTGGGCAGTTGTCTGACAAACGGTTTCATGGCCAGATGTGGTCGGTTGTGTCACTATTTCATGAAAAATGACGCAGATAATAGGATTCAAAATGTTAAATTAGCATTTGGTAGCTGGTCCATGGAACTCTCAGCATGCAGGACTAAAAAGGTGTCAATGCAAGTGAAGGAGGCCATTGTTAGGCTGAAAAAACTGAACAAACTTATCAGCCAGATAGCAGAAACATCAGGATTGACCAAATCAACAGTTTGGTACATTCTTAAAAAGAAGGAATTCACTGGCAAGCTCACCAACACCAAAAGGCCCAGAAGACCACAGAAGACATCTAAAGTGGATGATCGCAGAATTCTTTCCTTGGTGAAGAAAAACACTAACATGGTGGAGGCAGTGCTATGGATGGGCATGTGTGGGTACCAATGGAACTGGGTCACTGGTGTTCATTGGTGATGTCACAGATGATAGAAGCAGCAGGATGAGTTTTGAGGTGTTTAGGGTTAAACTATCTGCTCAGATTCAGCCTAATGCTACAAAACTGATTGGATGGCGCCTCACAGTGCAGATGGATTATGACCCAAAAGATGATGTGAACACAACCCAAGAGCTTCTCAAGGCAAAGGAATGGAATATTCTTCAATTGGCGAAGTCAGTCACCTGATCTAAACCCAAGCGAGCAGGCTTTTCACTTACTGAAGATAAAACTGAAGGCAGAAAGACCCACAAACAAGCAGCAGCTGAAGGAGGCTGCAGTAAAACGTCTGGCAAAGCATCTCCAGGGGAAAATAACTCGCCGTTTTTGGTGATGTCTATGGGTGCCAGAAGGATTTTTGCAAAAGATTTCCCTCCAAGTATTAAAAATAATGATTATATTCACAATTATGTTAGTTTGTCCAATTACTTTTGAGCCTCTGAAAATGTGAGGGGCTGTGTAAATATGGCTGCATTTCCTAAACGGTTCATGTGATATTTTAGTTTTATCCATTGAATTAAAGCTGAAGTCTACACTTCAGCCACATATTGACTGCTTCATTTCAAATCCACTGGAGTCGTGTAAAGAGGCAAAATTAGAAAAATTGTGTCACAGTCCAAATACTTATGGCCCTGACTCTGTGTGTGTATATATATATATATATATATATATAAAAAAAAAAAAACGATAACTTTTACACGTGAATCCAAACAGCGAACAAGCAGGGTGGTAACATATTAAACTGGAATTAGGCTTCTCTTCTACACATCTCTTCGAACATATGCAGAGACAGGTAACCGCAGGTCCCAGTGGGTCTCTGAGCACACACATCTTCCAAATCTCCACAACGTGTTACGCGGACCTGCGGGTCAAGCAAGTTGATCGGTTGATTTACTGCCAAAACGGAGAACTCAAAAAAAGCTAAGTAAAGGTTGTACAAACAAGTATAATAGAAACGTCTCCGTGCACATTCGCCTACGTGCATCTCGGAGAGGCATAATGTCAGCTTCAGTCCAAAATTGATTGTCAAGATGCTGATGTTTGGAGATTGGGGGCAAGGCAAGATGTTACTGTGGACGTTTAAGCATGTGAATATCGAGAAGTAGGTCCAAGGCAAGTACTTTGGCAGCTTGCGGTCACTACTGTCCACATGCACTCTGAAGACTTTTGGTTATGGGCTGTTGTTCCTCGTTTAGGCTCCTTAGCTCAACATACAACGTATTGGAGACAGTGTGCGTCCAACTTTGTGGGGACAGTTTGAAAATGATGACGCCCTCATCCACAAAGTCATTGTGTCATATAGAAATGGTTTTCTGGGGCCGTCCTGTTGGCTGAGTTGCTAAGATGTAAACCGTAAACAGTTACCACAATATCTGCGTTGTATTGCGCCTGAGACGCCCTCGCATCCCCCTAAAAGCACCAATGAGAGGGAACGGCTTTCCTAGTTTGGAGTGGAGGATTGACTGACTAGACCGGTCCTGACCTCAACTCCATCCAACACATTTGGATCGATCTTGCACCTGCTGCAAGCTAAAGTCCTACCGGCCAACATCAATGCTCAACTTCAACGATGCTCTTGTCTTTTGTTGTGGAAAACTATCCCAGAAGATGTTGTACTGTTGAAAGAAGTATCTCAGAAATGCATTTTAAGAGCACTTCTAAATGTGCTCCAGCCACATCAGATAAAAGACACAGTTTGGGCAGAAGGAGCCAGTTAATGGTCAGAGTCATGGCCCAGTTAAACTACAGTCCAACATTAGCATTGCTCAGAGCAGTGGTGTGTGTGTGTGTGTGTGTGTGTATGTGTATGTGTTGGACTGCAGATGAGGATGCAAACACAGAGACTGAGTGATAAAGAAACGGCGTGAGAGACAGAGGCAGTCTCTTTACAAGCCGAAACCGGTTGAACACCATCGACTTTGGGGAGGAAATCAATCAGAGTTGGAGTGCGCCTTTATGCCCTTGGCAGTTAAATTTAACAGCCTTTGTCTTGCTCTCTGCCCCCCCCCACCCATCATTTTCCACGGCTGATTTCTGGTGCCCTGCTTATCAGCCCTCATTCCCCCCGCAACAACAAAAGAGGTACCTGCCTGGAGACCTCCCGAATCCACACGACAAGCTCTCCGAGGAGCCGTCCCAGTCGCCGTTATCAGAACCACCCGCAGCCCAGACGCTGTTCCAGCCTGATTCAATTATAGCGAATACACGCCGCTTGCTCCAAGTGTGCCCCTGTGTGTAAAGGCTCTGGGAGATATGCAGACATTATGACTCGTCTCATTTCACTCACAATGGGTCCGTTGTTACAGTGAAGTGTCACTGATACTTGACACTCAGGTGAATAAAAAGTACTTTTAGCAAATGTAGAGCTTTTGCTACCTATTGATACCTCAATTACTTCAGCTCTTTTGTCCTATCAGTTTTCAGATGACAGAGATGATACGTCTCATAGACAGATCTGTAACCGTGTTTCTCCACAAAGAATCACACAAAAGCACCACTTTGAATCTTGTGTTCACCAGAGATGTGCTCATAAATTTCTCGGAAATAAGTCCTTCAGCATGAAAAATAAAAGCATAAAAATCAACTAGTTAACTACAGAAATCTTAGACTTAAGACCAAAAACGACCGATTAGCCGACTAACCATCTAAGAGGGGGCAGCCCGAGTGTTTAATACACTTAGTGTGTATCCATCTGTGAAGTTCTGTGGCTGAATACGAGTCCTAAGACGTGTCCCTTGTCTTCCGTTTTATTAGCAAACCTAATAGTCCTTAGAGCTTACCGAATAATCATTTGAAAAATAAGTTGTATTAAACTTCATAAACTTGTTCATTTGGTTTTGCCCGTCATATCCGTGAGCCTAAATGCTACTAACTGGAGAAAAGGAGGGACAGACTCAGTGAAATACAGCCTAATAATTTGGGGAAATGCCCAAATGTTACATAAAGTAGCCCAAATTATTCCAAGCCATCGAATACCATTTTAACCGGCCAAATCAAATAAACAGTAGTCCAACTGGGTTGACTGGGTTAACTGCCCATTCTGGCAAAAATGTCAGCGCCAAACAGCAGATGGACAAAGTCATCATACACACGGCGAAGCTATTAGTTGTTAAAGAGCCAAATATTTCCCTCAGGAGTTGGTTGAGACCAAAAACAGAGCTACAAGGAGACAAAATATTGGCCTTACGCACAACTTAAACACAACTCAAAAGGCATGCTAATGTTGCTCCGTGTTTGCTGGATATGTAAAATAGTCTGATGTTCAAAAATAGTTTTTTTACGGTAGGCTTAAAGACATAAGTGTATATACCTTCACAGCAGGAAACGCCAGGTGTTACAACAGTAACGAGGGGTCTGGACCAGGACACCCGAGCTGGGTCACATTATTAACGTTATTAACTACACGTTATTATTAAATTAGTCTTGCTGTTATTTTCCATATAATTACCTTTGATGCTGAATTTCATACCACTTTTATTAGAATAATATGTTCACAACACCGCAGTGCTGTGTTGTTCCTTAGGTTCAAATGCTTAAACGCTGATAGTAACCTTTAGTGCAAGTACTGGGTCCAACACGTCAACACACTGCGACGATGTACTGTGAGCCCTTTCAAACCCGCTAAAAGGCTTCCAATCCATTATGTAACTGCATAATGTCAACAGCTCTAATGGCTCACCACAATTGAAGACGCTGCCAGACTTCAGCTAATCAAAAATAATACTGTTTGTTCTTCTTTGTTCAG